TCCTAAGATTTGGGGTGGGGGTGCGGGGAGGACCCATTCTTGGCCTGGAATTCCTCTGATGGAAGAGACGGTTGGTTTGATGGCCTGGGATTCTTCAGTGCTGCCAAGTCCCTGTTAGGGAATGCTTCCACTACTAACTAGATCTCCCATCTCCACCCCCCACCCCCTCACCCCCGCCCAAATCTTGAGAGGGGCCCATTTCCTGCTCTTGTAATTCAGAAAACTATCCTTTCATTTGTAAAGAAAAAGGAAATCTTATCTGGTAATGTTAACATTGGGGTATTGGTCAGTCGAAGAGCAATTCATTGAGAGCACGCTCTATTTTCTGTGAAAAAATGGAAGGTGGAATAGGGGAAGGAAAACGGCGCTCGGGCTCTGAAGGGCGAAACCCCAGGGGTGTGGAGCGGGTTCATCGCGCAGTGAACCCGCGCAGGCGGCCACGCAGCCTGCTCCCCGCGCCCGCCTCCCAGCCCAGCGCCCTATTGTCCTCCATCCCAGCCTGGGGTCGTGACCCAGTTGAAGTCTGCCTCCGGGCAGACGGCGTGGAACCCAGAGGAGGAGCCAGGCTATCGCCAGCCGCTAGCATCTCGCCTTGGCGGGGCTCGCGATCCTCAAGACCCCGGCGCTGGGACCCCCATGAAGGCAAGCCGCTTTGTGCCCCGTTCTCTTGCTCCCGGCTTCCGGGAAGCCAGAGACTAGAGCGGGAACCTAGGGTTGGGCTATTTGGCAGTGTCTGCCTACAGACTCCGTTTTAGGATTTCTCTGCCCAGGAGTTCAAATATACTTTGCTCTCGCAATCTCTGACGCTGAGAGGGAGGGTCCGAAAGGAGGAGTGAGTAGAGGTGACACTTCTTTGGGCTTGATCCATACCTATCTCAGCTGGCAGAGCAGACCCCAGAGAACCTGACCTTCCAGAATCTGGCCGTTGCTGATGGGGGCTGGACATTTAAAATCGTCCCTTCCCATTATTAGACTCTGTAACCCTATTCACGGGCAAGCACACGCCCAGACCCTCCCTGCCCACCCTTGCTTCCCAGGCCTCCTGGTTTGTCAGCTGGGCCTCAGAACTGAAAGCAGGAAGGATGAGCTGCAGACGCCTTACCCCTCCTCGCATGGATGTGGGCTCAGCTTCTGGATGGACCCTGCGTTCAAAGAGGCTACAGAGCTGACACCAGAGAGAAGAGTGGAAAAATCCCGAGGAATGGAGGGAGAGCCCGTTCTGAAAAGAGGCCCCTGGATCTGGAGGGCAGTGAGCAAGCCTTGGTTTCTTCTCTGCTCCCCAAACCCAAAAGGGATCTGAGCTCCTCAAGCTGCACAGGTTTTAAGGTGGCTGAGGAACCCCTTTGGGTCTCTGGTTCAAACAATGCACCCTACCAGTCTTTCTTCTCAAGAGGCAGCTAAAACTCGGTACTCACTGCAGGAGAAAAATTAAAATGTGGCTAGTGACCAGGGTGCAAAAAAAGCAAGTCAGTTCTAGCAGAAAGATTGGTCAGAGGCAAAGACTTCCTTTTCTACCAAATCCCCCAAATGTTTATTTTGGGCTCCTGCCCATCCAGATAAATCAAGCTAACAGATTAGGAAGTTCATAAAATTGTATTCTTAGGTAATGACATCCAGAGAGGCAATAAATATTCCCTCTGATGCCCGCTGGAGTTGGGGGATCCTCCCTCTCTTTTTCCAAGCTGAGAATGGTTTATTGAAAGGGGAACTTTCCATTAGAATTAGCGCTCCAAAGGTGGGGTGCCAGAGAGAAGCCGTGGAAACCATGAGAAGTGGCTTTGTGAGGGCAAACTCTCCCAGGACTGGGCAAAAAGCAGAGAAAAGGTTGCTGAAACTGCCCCAGCCCACTGCTCCTCCCGTCATCACACCATCTTCAATCTCAAGGATTCCCTTGGTAGTCACTGTCCCATAATCTTACAAAAGCAGACAAACTGTGCCTAGCTGGGGCTACCCTGGCCCCAAGCTCTGGAGAGCCCTTTAATTGTCTTATCTTCCTTACCACTCCCCCAAAATACACACAGGCACTCTGGATCCACCAAATCCATGCATGAAAAAAGCTGATGCACAGATTGCAGAAAAAACTTGGTAGGCAAGTTCATACAAACAGCACTGAGAAGGCTTCAAAGAAATATAGTTGCCCTGCTTGGCCTTTCCCCCAGGCTCACTTTCTCAGCTCTCTCCCCTTTTCGGGCCAAGTTTTTTCTCTCAGGTACACCAGTCAGCACAGAAACTCCACTTTCCCCAAGTAGAAGCTGTCCGTTCAGGATTAGATTTCCCACCTTCCCTCCCCAAGACCAGAGTGGAGATAAAAATTGAATGGCAAACAGAGAGAGAATTGAAACTGCTATGCGTCTCGCCCCCAGAGGGATCGAGTGCTAACTACTTACATGTCAAGGGGCTTTTTGACCTGTGGGGATCTCTTGGTGCTTGGAGAGAAGGACCTTGGAAAATTGGTGTCGTCGTTTCACCCTGTCTTCTTTTCACTTGGCCATTGGAGAGAGAGGTACAAGGTGCTAGCAGGCATTCACGCGCCTGGCCTCTCCCATGACTCTGGGCAAGAAACCGCCACCCCCACAAAGGCAGTGGCATCCTATCTGGAGACCAGGGGCTGAGCCAGAGCTGGTTTGGGAGGGTCGGAGATGGGGGTGGGGGAAAGGTCAGAGGCGCTGGTGAATATAAAGGCGATGTGAGAGAAAATGCTGTGCCCTCCCCGTGAACCTGGGCTGCGTCCCCCCCTCCATTCCCCTCAGCCTTTCCCCACTGCTCAACCCAACTTCAATAAAAAGCCCCAGCCCTCAGCCCTGGGCTTCCCAGTGAGGCTGGAGCAGCATGGGGGGTGGGGGGGCGGGGAGCAAC